GTGACAGAGTGTGAGGGGTACATTAGTGTAAGGGGTGTGATAGAGTGAGAGGAAGGGTGACATAGTGAAGGTGGGTAACAGAGTAAGAGGGGAGTGTCAGAGTAAGAGGGTGGGTGACATAGTGTGATGGGGTGACAGAGTGAGAGGGAGGGTGACAGAATAAGAGGGGGTGACATAGTGTGAGGGGGTGAAAGTGTGAGGTGGGGTGACCTAGTGTGTGGGGAGCGACAGAGTGAGGTGACAGAGTACGGGTGGGTGACAGTGTGGGGGCTCACAGGGTGAGTGACAGAGCAAGAGGGGGTGACAGGGTGAGAAGGGGTGTGACCGTGTGAGAGGGTGAGACCTAGTGTGAGAGGGGGTGACATAGTGAGAGAGGGTTACATTAGTGTAAGGGGGGTGACAGAGTGAGAGGAAGCGTGACATAGTGAAGGTGGGTAACAGAGTAAGAGTGGGGGTGACATAGTGAGAGGGGGGGTGACATAGTGAGAGGGAGGGTGACAGAGTGTGGCAGAATAAGAGGGGTGACATAGTGTGAGGGGGTGAAAGTGTGAGGTGGGGTGACCTAGTGTGTAGGGAGCGACAGAGTGAGGTGGCAGAGAACGGGTGGGTGACAGTTTGGGGGGTCACAGGGTGGGTGACAGAGTAAGAGGGGGTGACAGGGTGAGAGGAGGGTGACAGGGTGTGACCTAGAGTGTGAGGGGGAAGACCTAGTGTGTGATGGAGGGTGACATAATGTAGGGGGATGACAGTGTGAAGGGGTGGCATAGTGTGAGAGGGGTGTGACTGTGTGAGAGGGGGAGACCTAGTGTGAGAGGGGGGAGACCTACTGTGAGAGGGAGGGTGACATAATGTGGGGGGGTGACATAGTGAGAGGGAGGGGGACAGAGTGTGACAGAATAAGAGGGGTGACATAGTGTGAGGGGGTGAAAGTGTGGGGTGACCTAGTGTGTAGGGAGCGACAGAGTGAGGTGACAGAGTAAGGGGGGGTCACAGGGTGGGTGACAGAGTAAGGAGTGTGGTGACAGGGTGAGAAATGGGGTGAGAGGGAGGTGACAGGGTGAGGGGGTGACAGGTGGGGTGACAAGGTGAGAGGGGGTGAGAGGGAGGTGACAGGTGGGGTGGCATGGTGAGAGTGGGTGAGATAGGTGGGGTGGCAGTGTGGGATGACAGGGTGGGAGAGGGGTGACAAGTGGGGTGACAGGGTGAGAGGGGGTGACAGGTGAGGTGGCAGGGTAAGAGAGGGGGGACAAGTAGGGTGGCAGGGTGATAGGTGAGGTGACAGAGTGAGAAGTGGGGTGGCAGGGTAAGAGGGGGTGGCAGGTGGGGATAGAAGTGGTGACAGGGGGTGACATGTGGGGTGGCATGGTGAGAGGGAGGTGACAGGTGGGATGGCAGGGTGACAGGGAGGTGACAGGTGGTGAGGCAGGGTGAGGGAGTGACAGGGTGAGGGGGTCGACAGGGTGAGTGGGGTGACAGCGTGAGGGGGTGACTGGGTGAGTAAGGGGGGGTGACATAGTGGGGGGGACACAGGGTGGGTGACAGAGTTGGAGGTTGGGTGACAGGGTGAGGGGGTGACATGGTGAGAAGGGGTGACAGGTGGGGTGAGAAGAGGTGACAGGGGGTGGCATGGTGAAAGCTGGGGGTGACAGGTGGGATGGCAGGGGTGAGAGGGGGGGTGACAAAGTGAGGGGGGGGTGGACAGGGGTGAGACAGATGGGTAGCAGGGTGAGAGGGTGACAGGTTGCGGAAGGGGGGAGGGAGGTGACAGATGGGGTGGCAGGTGAAGGGAGGTGACAGGGTGAAGGGGTGACAGGTAGGGTGGCAGGGTGGCAGGGTGACAGGGTAACAGATGAGGTGACAGGTGGGGTGGCAGGGTGACAGGGTGAGGGGGTGGCAGGTTAGGGGGTGGCAGGGTGATTGTGATGGGGTGACAGGTGGGGGTGGCAGGGTGACAGATAGGGTGACAAGGTGACAGGTGGGTGGCAGGCGGACAGATGGGGCGACAGGTGGGCGGCAGGGTGACAGATAGGGTGACAGATAGGGTGACAGGTGGGGTGGCAGGCGACAGGGTGAGGGGGTGGCAGGGTGCGACAGATGGGGTGACAGGTGGGGTGACAGGTGATTGCGATAGGGTGACAGATGGGTGACAGGTGGGGTAGGCGACAGGGTGAGGGGGCTGGCAGGGTGACAGATGGGGTGACAGGTGGGGTGGCAGGGTGACAGATAGGGTGACAGATGGGGTGACAGGTGGGGTGGCAGGGTGATAAGGTGAGGGGGTGGCAGGGTGACAGATGGGGTGGCAGGGTGACAGGGTGAGGGTGGTGACCGGTGGGGTGGCAGAGTGTGGGGCTGACAGGGTGAGGGAGGTGACAGGTGGGGTGGTAGGTACCTTTTTTCCTGGTGGTCCAGTGGTGGCAGGCTCCCTGGTGGTCTAGTGGGCTCTCCGGTCTGCAGCTCTGCCGGATGCAGAGCTGCAGACCACATGGTGAATGTCTTGCGATATCCAGCCAATCAGAGCGTTGCCGCGGGTTACCACGGCAACTCTCTGATTGGCTGGAGATCGCAAGACACTTCAGTCTGCAGCTCACTCCCGGCGGGCTGGCTCTCCCAGGCAGACTGACAGGAGGGGCCTCGCACCCGGCGACATACAGGGCAAGCCGCCGGGTCCCCTCCTGTGTCGGGTCCTTTGAGGACACAGCTGCCTAAACCGCCTAATTAGAGAGCCGCCTCTGGTATAAACGCAGCCTCGCCCTGTGAACTTTATCAAGTCTTTGATCCTGTTGTGTGTGTTCCATTCCAGTGTTCCACTCTATTGATCTACTACTTCATATTGACCCTGACTTCTGACTTTGTTTATCCTAACCTCTGGCATCCCTTGACTTCAACTACACTTCGTTGATCCTGACCTCTGGCATCCTTTGACATCGGCTATTCCTTGACTATCCTGCTGTTTGTGTCCTTGCCTGTACTGCGACTTGGAGCTTTATCCTGCACAGCCCCCGTGCACAGATTCACAGTCCAGGTGGTTTCCTATCTGGTCACCTTGGACTGTGTCTATTTGCAAGGGTGAGCAACATATCTGTGCTACAGACTCCCATCTCAGGTAAAATCCTGACATAGAGAGATTGAGTTTTCAGAAAGCGGGAGAACATCCAGTAAGAGCAAGGCCGGCACTACCTGTAAGGCGACCTAGGCAGCTGCCTAGGGCGCAACTTAGCAGGGGGCGCCGGATCCCTGCGCCCGGAATCACCGGTGCGGCACCTCATGCTGCGCCGCCTGAGCGCTTTTACAAACCTCAGGCGGCGCAGCACTGCTGTATGGAGGGTGGCCGATTTTGAGTCTCTCAATGTAGCGTGGCCGGGGGGCGTGGAACGCGGGACAGGAACCTCTGTTTCCTGTACCCGGCCGCGGCGGACTGACAGGAAGTGCTCACTGAGTGAGCCTTTGACCTACACATACAAGTCTATTGAGAGAGGAAACGTTATTTATAAACCCTATGGAAGGGAGATAAGCGCAGATCTACAGTATGGTCTTGTAAGTTCTCTACCTACGGGATTGAATTATATATTTCTGTACATGCTTCACTATTATTAGATTTTTTTCGTATTTTAGATTCTTTGAAGAACTGTGTTGTATTATATACAGGTTGTATGCTTCATGATTTTTGTGCTACCCCTTTAATCTATACCAGTACTTGATACAGTATAGATTTACTCTTTTGTTCATACTATATTGGTGTATGTGAGGTACACTTTTGGGTGTTTGGCACGTTTTTTTGTCTGTGTTTGGGATATTATATAGCACTTCCCTTCTTTTCTATATACTGTTTTATTTGGTCATCAGTGCTTATAGTTTTTTTTGTAAGTTAACTCAGGCAGAAAATCTACTTTCCCAAAGTTGAAGAAGTTGCATAGATTTTTAATTCGAACTCCATGCAAAAAAAAACTGTTCCTGTTTGTAGCTGTAAATAATAAAAGCAGTTAAAAAAATATACCCTACAAATCTCAGAGAAGATATTTTACAGGTAAGGTTGATGGAATTATCTTAATAAATGCAGTAATGAAAGAATTGGATGAGTCCAGTAAATAATAAAAGCAGTTAAAAAAATATACCCTACAAATCTCAGAGAAGATATTTTACAGGTAAGGTTGATGGAATTATCTTAATAAATGCAGTAATGAAAGAAGCTTCAGGTATTAAATATATAAATATATGTAATAGTAAATTGATTAATTTCTAGAACCTTAAAGAATGCTGATGCTAAGTTTTCTATAAAATGAAAATGCATGCTAAAGTGTTACATTTTCTGGCTCAAAATCTATTGTCTGCATTTGTGATTTTGAGTAGTTACCGATCTTTAAAAGCATTATTATTAAATATTATTATTTAATATCATTAAAATATATTTCAATAAACAAATGCATGAAATGATAATAAAAAGAAAGTTTGCAAATTTATTTCAGACAAACTGCAATTTGGCCAAATTTCTCGGGTGTTCTACAAAATTCTGAATACCTGAAATGCAGACTAACCAAAACATGTTCAGAGGTGTGGAGTCAATATTCTAACAATTCTAATATATGAATATAGATTTTTTTTTCAGTGCTCATCTTGTTTTCACTCTATGGGTTACTTGGGTTAAATAATGGGGAAATGCTCCTATCAGTGTACTAAACAAATTATACATAACATGGCCAAATCGGAAGTCCTGAAAACATTTCTGACTTTGGAAAAAAAATCTATTTTGCCTAATCAAAATGATTCACCGAAAACAGGGAGTGTCAATCATGTAGTAAATCCCCGGTCATCCAATGCTTTAAATAGTAGCATTAAAAAAAAATACATTGTGTAATATCCAGAACAGGATGTTGATTTGGAAATAAACAAAAATCAGGTGTGCGAAACAAGTTCCATAGTAAGGAACCATGCTTGTGTTAATATAGGACCGGGATCTGGTGGGTTCGAAAGAGACATTCATACTATCCCCACTCAAGGCTGTTACATAGTTACATAGTTACATAGCTGAAAAGAGACTTGCGTCCATCAAGTTCAGCCTTCCTCACATTTGTTTTTTGCTGTTGATCCAAAAGAAGGCAAAAAAAACCCAGTTTGAAGCACAATTTTGCAACAAGCTAGGAAAAAAAAAATTCCTTCTTGACCCCAGAATGGCAGTCAGATTTATCCTTGGATCAAGCAGTTATTACCCTACAGTGAAAGATTATATCCTTGAATATTCTGTTCTTGCAAGTATGCATCTAGTAGCCGTTTGAACATCTGTATGGACTCTGATAGGCTGTGCATGCCTGAACTCTCATATAGGCTGAATGCCAAGACAAATGTAATGCTGTGTTCATGTTGTACTTACTAGTAAATTACTCTCTGGAGTTATGAGATATTTAGGTAGCTTGCTCCCCCTTAGAAAATGTTAAAACTCACCCTATTTCCAGGGCCGCACGGGTCTGCCGATGCTGGCCCCATCCCTGATCCAACTCCTTGTTGACATCATCAGAATTTCCAATTTTTAGCCAATTATAGGGAAAGCATTGGATTGGCTGAACTCAGCAAGGAGGTGGGATGGGGGTGGGGCCAAACACTGTTTTGGCCAATCAGCACCTCCTCATAGAGATGTATTGAATTAATTAATTGAGATGCATTGACCCAGCAAGCACCATCCAGTGCAGTGTTTGTATCAAAATGCCTGAAGGGAGCTATTATACTCACCAGAACAAATACATTAAGCTGTAGTTTTTCGGGTGACTATAGTGTCCCTTTAAGCCCTTAAGGACCAAACTAAAATGGAATCATGACATGTCACACATGTCATGTGTCCTTAAGGGGTTAAATAATCAATCAAAACTGGGTCATAGTGTAAACTTAGATTACCATTAAATATATGTGATAATTCTGATCCAGTCAGATTCCACTCCATTCATTTAAATAGCGCATCACAGTATACACTCTCAGCACAAATAGGATAAAGCTTATTATTAATGTTTGTGAGCATTCATCAAGAACCGCACAACAACTTGGCACTCTAACCTTGTTCAGTAATTCAGGTTCAAGTATAAAGCTGTAGAGAGGTCATTATAATTTAAATACGGGCTATTAATATATCTGTTTTGTCTTGAACAGCACAACCCTTTGCTAGCATTTGTTTCCAGAAGCACAAGGCATAAACTAATGAAATACTGTTTGGGGCTGTTTCATAACAAATAGATGCTAAAGTCATGTAGTAAATCCCAGTCCTCCTTAGCTTGCCTGTAAAATATTTACTTTTCAAATTAAAAATGGTTCCTGAGATTCCAGCAATAATTACTGAGTATCTAAATGTAGTTGAGATAAGCTTACACAATAATATATTATAGCCTAAGAACGTCTTTATGGTTATCATGTAATAATATGACAATATGGAGAGAAATCAATGATCTGCTCAATTCCAGCTGTCTGAAAATCGCAATAGAAACTTCTCAAGAACCTAGTCTTCCTATTACAGAAATAAAAGCTATTTAAAAGTGTACAGATGCTCTGGAAAACTCATTACAAAAGTTATCAATGCCTTTTTTGAACTCATGTTTATTTAACCCCTTAAGGACCAAACTTCTGGAATAAAAGGGAATCATGACATGTCACACATGCCATGTGTCCTTAAGGGGTTAAAGAGGAACTCTAAGCCCCATAAACACGACAGCTCATTGTAGTGGTTATGGTTGTGTGAGACTTTATTTAAGGGAAATTATTTTAAGGTATTTGATAAAAATCATAGCTCTCTCCAGCACCCTTAGCCCGGGTGAAGTGCCAGATGAAATTGGCATGGTTTAAAACAATGTGTAAATAGTTGAAAGGGACTGCACACCTCAAACAGAGCCACAATTGGTGCAAAATGAATAGAACTTGGCACAACCACCCTTAAACACAGTATTCCAAAGAAATGAGGACACAATAGCTCAGACGATAGCAGCTTTAATGGATCAAAGTGCCCATCAATGATGTTTCAACATCGCAATGAGGTCTTTGTCCAGCGAACTCATTGCAAAGTCGAAACATTGTTGATGTACACTCTGAGCCAATAAAGATGTTATCTTCTGAGCTACTGTGTGCCCGGACATCTTTAGAATAGTTTAAAACAATAACTGACAGAATACTAAGATGGAGGGGCACAGCTGATGGATAAAAAGGTATGGATATTTCTATATTTTATTTTATTTTTCAGACCTTGTTATTACATATTTGTTAAATATAGGGTATAAACTAACATGATACTAAATACACTAGGAAGTGACATTTTAAGTTTCTTATAACACAAAACTATATATTTTTTTTTTTTACTAAGCACCAAATTTAGGCGAATTGAAAACCAATTTTCTAAATTTAGGCTTAAATAGGTAACCTGGACAACAAATTATCACGTATTTTCTACAGGCTGGCTATTTTTACCTGAATTTAGCAAATCACATTACAATTCACTACAATTAGGGTTTAGTGAATAAACTCCAAACATTCTTGAGTACTAGATACCTCACATTTATCACGACATTGTCCCCAAAACATTAGTATTATATGTAGTATTATACAATTTAGAATTCATACAGAAAGCAGATTATATCTACCAGGTGTCACATTGTATAATAATATTGCTATTCCAAGCCTCTGCTATTTGATATTGATCTTCCTCCATGAACAGATCTTAAGGAGTCAGCAGGAGGGCAAATCTATACTTTCATGACTTACCAACTCGTACGTCAAGTAGCTGAATAGATTTTACATATGATATTCCTGCTAGTAGGTATAACTCATTACTTTTTTAGCTCTTCTTGCACATTAAGGGTTAATTACATTGATCGCTTGAGTCATTAATCTGCTGTCAGTATTTGCTTTTATAGACTATCATCTATCAAAGGGTTTTCTACTAAACGCAGAATATGCTGTTGCAAATAATTCGGGAACATGTGAAATATTTGAGCCTTCAATTTGTGTGAAACTTATAAACCTACATTGGTACAAAGGTACCAACATTTTCCCTAAAAATAATATGATCAGTGATTGGCTAGCGAATGAATTATAATAAGATTAATTTCATAATACTCTGCAGTCTATTGCATGTGAGGGGAGCAACAAATGTCAACCACAAAGGGGGTGGGAGTTTAAGCAGGTAAAGTTAAGTTACAATCTTGAATACAAACTTTACAAGGGCTTCATTTGCAGCACTAATTGACCTTGAGAGCAATGTGATTGCATTGTCTTGGACACAGGGCATTTGATCCTATGAAAGCATTTAATGGACTTATGGGCATTGAGAAAATTCAGCTCAAGTGAACCATTCTTCATGAAAACGGATTTTTGGGGTATTTGCCTGAATTTCGGTATAGAAAAACAATTTCGGGAGCCAAATAAGATGGACCAAATGGACGTGAAAAGTGGCCAGTGTACTGCATATAATAAGAGTATGTATATATTTTGCTGTACACCCCCAAAAAACTACCATTTGGATCACAGATCAAATAAGAAAAAGAGGAGTTGCAGTAAAGCAGATGAACATTGATATATAATATATTTATTAGCATAATATAAAGCCTAATCCATGGGTTCAATAGGTAGGATTCAAAGTGCAATTTATTTAGGCAGTGCACAAAACAAAATATGCTGTTTTGGCCCAATGGCCTTGATCATGATTAAGGCCATTTGGTCAAAATGTCATATTTTGTTATGTTCACTGCCTAAATAAATTGCACTTTGCACCTTACCTGTTGAACCGTGGATCTTGTAAGCTCATTGAGCAGGGCCCTCAGCCCCTCTGTTCCTGTGCGTCCAACTTATCTGGTTACAATTACATTGTTGTTAGTCCACCCACTGTAAAGTGCTGTGGAATGTGTTGCCGCTATATAAATAATGATAATAATAATAAATTTCTACCTATTGATTGATTGCTACAGCTGGGAGGTGCATTGGTTCCTTTACCTTTTTCCCCAAGAGTCCCACACCATTTCAATTTCTTGATAATATAAATATACATTTTTCATTGCTCCTCCTTTGCTTTCTTCTATTAGTTATTTCTCACTTGAACTGTGAAAAAAATAAAAAATTTACTGGTTGTCCCCAAGCAATTAATCATATTTTTTTTTCCATCAATCCTCTCTTTTTTGGCCACCATGGGTAGAATTCAGAATTAGGAACCAAAATGGACAAGCTCAACCATTGTTCGTTTTCAATTGGGTCATAATTTGGGTACATTTTCCCTCGGAGTTCAGAAATTTAACTGATTGCCAAGTTCGACCAAATTTAGGTGAAATGCAGTTTGGACCAAAATGAATCTGCAAGCCTAGTATTTAATTTCTTGCTATTCTTGAAGAATTGTGCTGTCACTAAGGTCAACTGATGATTTTGTTCAGGCTTGTTAAATCACCCATGACTTGTGCATCTACTGAGTACTCATTGCCTAATTTGAGGACTGAATAATGTGAGAAATCACATAATATGAGATGCATACCATGTCTTTGTTGATATTGCAGTAATTATTTTTTCATGAACACGTTACAAGGTAAATATTTACTTTCTCTAATTGTGACTGTGCCCAGCCTCCTCACCCCCTGGCCTGCAATCTGTGTGTTACTTACAGACATACTGACACACAGACATATATACTGACACACACACACCAACACTAACAGACATACTGACACACACATACAGACACAAATACTGACAGACATACTGATATACACACACACACACACACTGACAAGTTGCTGAGGGTCCGCAGAGGCAAGTATTTTTTTTTAACCGACTTCTAGCACAAGGTTGGCCAAAATGTGGATCCCTATCTGTTGTACAAGTCGACAGTGCTTTGCTAGCTTAGGATATACAAGGATAGACCCCAGAATGGCAGTCAGATTTATACTTGGATCGAGCAGCTATTACCCTAACATGTTTAAATGTGAGTGTTGGGAGTTTGTAAGTGATTGTGAGAGGGTGGTGAGTGTAACAGGTATAGGGGTGATTAATGTGATGGGGTTAGGAGGCTGAGTGAGACAGGGCTGGGGGGGTAGTGAGACAGGGCTGGGGGGGGCTAGTGAGACAGGGCTGGGGGGAGGCTAGTGAGACAGGGCTGGGGGAGGCTAGTGAGACAAGGCTGGGGTGGCTAGTGAGACAGGGCTGGGGTGGCTAGTGAGACAGTGCTGGGGGCGTATGAAACAGGGCTGGGGGGGCTAGTGAGACAG